AAAGGAAGGGAAGGGAAGGAAGGGATATTATCATGAGAGGAGGGAGGGTCTGAGGGAAGGGTCTGCCTCAGCCCTTGGCAGGTGCTTCCCTGACATGAGTGACATCGAGCTGGCCATGCTCACCCCGGCGACACCCCCCCCTCCCCGAGATAAAACACAACTCTGAAATCGAGTTGGACAACCCCTGAGCTATCGTGTTTCTAGTCCTCATTTTGGGAGATGCAAGTCGATGTTCCCCCAGGATGTGGGTGGTGAGAACAGGGCCTCCAGGAAATACCTTGTGGCAAGATGGCTGCCGGATAAAAGCGAGGACTAGAGGCCGAGAAGAGGCTTGTTTGCTTTCAGGCTATCTGAAACGATGCGGTCCTTTTCCTAATCGAGTTTTATATTTTTCCACCCATGGTAGCAGTGAGTTTGGGGTGGGGGGAGAATAATAGGCCAGGTGGGGGAGCTGCATCTCAACACCCTCCTTACTGGGAATCCTCTGGCTTTGGAAGGAGAATGTGCTGCCAAGCCTGGATTTGGTTAGATGGTGGATTGGTTTACACCTGGGTTATTCATATTAATCCAGTTTCCCCCCGCTTTCAGCTCCTAAGTGTGTCAGACAAGAGGGGGTTAAATTGGTTGCTTGCTGATGAAATTAACCCCCTGATTATTTCTTGTTCCAGGACGTGATTTTTCTTGGAAGCCATTTTTTGACTTGGAAGCCGCCACCTTAAGTGCCTGGGAGTTTCATACGGATTCATACCAGTGGTGGGATTCTACCAGCTTCCCTACCGGTTTGGGAACCGCGCACTTTGCGTGTGTGTGGGTGTGTGTGCAGATTTCCAAGCACCAGCTGAGGCTCTGCCGCGCCAATCAACTGAGAGGATCAAGAAAAGCGCAGGGAGCGGGTGAAAAGCGCCAATCCTGCGCTCTTCGCTTCTTTTGCCTCGGAGCTTTTGGGCCGAACCGGTAGCATTTCACCACGGATTTAATCCCCGGATATAAACCAATCCACCATCTAGCCAGATTCAGGCTTGACACGTGCATTTCTACCAACAGGAAGGCAGGCTCTGTGTTATGGCCACCTTTCCTGAAATAACAAATAAAAGAGATTAACGTGGACGATATATATGCCTTTAAAGAAACCCTGTCAAGCAAAGAGCGTTTCTCAACCTCGGCTACTTTTAAGATGGGTAGACTTCAACTCCCAGAATTCCCCAGCGTGTAAGGTTTAAACCAGGGTTGTGTTGTGGTTCGCCGGCAGCCTGTGCAGACGGCAGCAGAGTCGGACAGTGGGGAAGAACGGGAACCTGTCCGGGAGTCTGGGGAGGACTCGGACCAGGGTCCTGCGTCCGATACAGAGATGGGGCCAGGGCCACCTGGGAGTGGGGTGCTGACTCCGGAGCCTGGCAGCAGCAAGGCCGAGGAGCAAGGGGAGCCTGTTCCCAGTGTGCGTGTGCGCAGAGCTGCTAGAAGGCGAGAGCAGCTGAGACAAAAGGGGCAACTCGGGAGTAAGGCTTGGAGGTGATTGGCCCTCCCATAAGACATAAAGGAGGAGCAAAGGGACAGGAGCCTTTGCAGGAAGCAACTTTGTTCATACTGGTTAGTTTGAAACCTGAAGCTCTGTGTGGACTTTGTACTTCGGTTGGCTTTTTACAGTTCATTTGGCACTCTAGTTGTTGGCAGCAATTCAAAGGAGAGAAAGGTGGGTGCTTATCTCGAGGGACTGTTTGGGACTCATTTACGGGCTGGGAATGAACATAATGCCCAGCGTTGAAATAAGAGTTGTTTTAACTAAACGTGTGCTTAATTACAGTCTCAGGAAGCCTTGGTCAGAACAGGTTGGAGTGGGGGGGGGGGCAGATTTTCTTCGGCTTACCTGCCGCCGGCTGAGAAGTATCTGCGCCAAGTGTTTCCCCACCTCAGTGGAGCGATGGAGACACACACCCCAGGGGTTGTCGATCACACCAGCCACCGCCAGCAGCGAAGCAGGCCAGGTGAGGGCCGTCACAATCCCTGGGAGGAGGCAGAGCCAATGGGAGGGGTGAAAAAAATATTCAGAGAAACGCCTGGGGGAGCCCGACGTAGCCTTGTGAAGCTGTGTGATTTCAGCTGCCATCATCCCCAAGGGACTAAGCCCACTTGGGGGTGAGAATGGGAGGCAAAGAGCCACTGTGTCCACTTAGCAACGGAGATGTAAAGGGAGAACTGGGTTCATCCTTGAACAGGAGAAGAAAGAGATGGTTCCTCTATGTCTAGTTTAATGAAAAGAAGCCATATGGGATGACCCAAAGGGGCGTGGCACAAAAGCACAAAAGTAGGTAAAGTCCCTTTAATGCCTCCAACTTGGGCCCCAATGTCCAGTTATCATCGGCTGGAGAAAAAACTCTCCCAAGAACAGTTGTTTAAAGGGAAGAAATTCAGTCCGAACCCAAAGTACATCTAGATTATAAATAAAAACCAACACAAACCACTTGCTGCAGCAATTAACAAGACAGGGCAGGATAAGGAATTGCAGACTTCAAAAGATAACGAAACACACACAGTTGGGAGGACGCCAGAACCCAGATAAGACGTGACAAAGATAATTCATGCTTTGCTTCCAGCAAGGAGCTGTGCGCAAACACCCTCTTTATCCTGTTTTCCCAGCTGCAGTTAATGAAGGGAGTCAGGGCCTTTTTCTCCCCTGTAACCCATGTTGCTCCCTTATCCATTCCTCCCTGTGTGCTCTAGGATGAAGAGGGGATGGGCCTGGGTCTTCTCTGAATGCCCAGCCGGACTATGCCCTTCCCCAGTTTCCTCCACAGCCACCAGAGCCACACTCCCACTCCCTGTTCGCTGTTTGACCTCCCCCTCGGAATCAGATTCCAACAGGGGCATGATACCATGATCCAATATCTGAGGGGCTGCCCCAAAGAAGAGGGAGTCAAGCTATTCTCCAAAGCACCTGAGGGAAGGACAAGAAGCAATGGGTGGAAACTAATCAAGGAGAGAAGCAACTTAGAACTAAGGAGAAACTTCCTGACAGGGAGAACAATTAACCAGTGGAACAACTTTCCTCCAGAAGCTGTGAATGCTCCAACACTGGAAGTTTTTAACAAGAGATTGGATAACCATTTGTCTGGAGTGCTGTAGGCTAAGCAGGGGGTTGGACTAGAAGACCTCCAAGGTCTCATCCAACTGTGTTGTTCTATTCTGTTTTTTGGAGATGTCACGAAAACTATCCAGGCAGGCTGGTGAAGTCATAGAACATAGGACAGAGTCGGAAGGGACTTTGGAGGTCTTCTAGTCCAACCCCCTGATTGGGCCAGAGACCCTAATTTACCATTTCAGCAGGGGTGGGCTTTAAATTTTTACCAAGGGGTTCTCTCCCTGGTTGCTGGGTGGGTGTGGCCATGGTGGGCGTGGCCTAGTAAGCCGCCTGCACCATGACATGCAGGGGGGGGGGCGTTTTTGCTTTCCCCAGACTCCTGAGGCTTTCCTCGAGACTCCGGGAGGGCGAAAACAGCCTCCCCGGACTCCGGAGGCTCTCTGGAAGCTGGAAACGGGCCCATTTCCGGCCTTCCCAAACTTCCAGGAGGCCTGTTTTTCACCCTCCCTGAGCCTCCGCACACACCCTGCACTTACCTGCATCCAAAACGGGCCACGTAGGGACTCCTGGGAGGGGCAGGGTGGGTGGGAGTGGGATTTGGGGGTTGTCTGAACTGCACAGAATCTTAGCTAGGGGCTCTCCTGAACTCCTGCGAACCCCCAGGAGCCCACCCCTGCGTTTCAGCCAAGACCCCCCAAGCGGAGCTCAGCTTAAAAAGAGCCACGCTGGTTTTTCCACCCCAAAACAAGGCCTCCCTCAGCCCCTCACTC